TACGCTAGGCATGTGATTTAAAGGTAAGCCTAAGTGAATATGGAATAATATCGATGGAGAGAGATTATCTCTTTAAAGAATGTCATGATGTTAATATATTAGTTTCTAGTTTCTAAATAAGGGATATTATAAGGTCACTCCAAAAATTTATCTTTAATTGCATTTCTTTTCTTGAAAATAGATATGCTCATGACCCATCCTATCTTACTATCTCAGGTTGAGTTTTAGGAGTGAACACAAAAACAACATAGGTGGTGATATAACATGTTCTAACACAGAAGTACCAATGATTCATCATACAATCCTATTTCACACACATGATACAATGGACACAAAGTACAAAATGCACATGCATGTGGCACCAATAAAATCACACTATGGTTCATTGCCATACTACAACACATGGAGTAACCTAAGAGATCATGTTGGGTCACACCCTCATCACACTTTGTATTAGGAGGAAATATACCAAGACACGCTGAGATAGTGGTGTCACGCAAGATATGATGGAATAACTCTAAGGTCAAGAAGTCCAAGAGGTGATGTATTGAAGGAAGCAAAAAGGAATGGGTTAGTGTTGAAAAATCATAGGGGGAGGGATGCCACTTTTTGGACCTTAGCTCCTAAGTTTTTATTAGCATAGCATTTATTTTTATTCCTACTTTGCCCTTGTCTTTGATTTCCAATTTTACCCTTGTATTATGGGGTATTTTAGTCATAGGATTTATTTTCTTTTATATTTCCCATTTTACCCTTGTATTATGGGGTGCTTTAGATCATAAATTTTTATTTTTGGGCTAAGGTATTTGATTAGGGTGGGAACAAAACCTAGACATACTTTTTGTGGCTCTTGGACCTATTTTTTGGTGTTAGAAAGGCTTAGGCCCAAGTGGAGGGCAAAGGTTGCATGGTCTTATCATGCACCTAGATGTAGCCTAACTAATCCCAAAGATTCCATCCTTGGCCACCAAGTTGCATCTAGGGTTCATTTGCATTTCATTTGGTGTACATTTGGCTTGTGAATTTCGTCCATGCACTCTCCAAATGCAACCCTAGATGCCTCCCACTCCTATAAATACCCTAGGCTATGCATCATGTAAATACTTTGGAATATATGAATTTGAGTGAGCATTTTTGCCTCAAATCCTCTCCTTAGTCACTAGGTCTACATGGCCTACGTCTCCTATCTCCTCCCTAGAGTGAGTTTAGTGTTCCCTTGAGTGGCCTTCATCCCCACTTGATGAAGAGAGCCAACTAGAACACCCAAAAACACCATCCTCCCAACCTTTCTCCTATTCGCCCAAGACTCCACCCTTCACACCCACCATCACTTAGCCTTACCCTTGAAGGAACGTCCACCCTCTAAGGTCACCATCTTGGCCTTGGCAAGGAGCTCCTCTTCACCATTGAATGTTTTGATCATCCCCTTGGTGGAAGGAGTCCATCAAGATACACCTGCACATAAACAGATAGAATTGAGGCTATCCTTAAGGTCATGGATCACCAAGCTTTCACAAAAGGGGGGCCTTCCCTGAAAGTGTATTCCATATCATACCCATCCAAAAATAGTTATGCATATATGATGCATGCCACACAAGACTTAACACATTATCATGTTATCACAACACACATTCAAAATTGTATATTCATTCCTTTCATCTCATATTAACATCGTGGCTAAGTCTCAGCTTAGCCTTTTCATCATATGACCCTCACAAGATCCATGCACATTAAGATATTGATGGTGCAACATCTTTCAACTCATATTTGGCTCACAATCATATCAATAGCATATCCAGATACCATAACTATTTATTAGCATTAAACAATACAAGAAACACACTTATAAATGATACATTAGTGCATGAACAAAAAATATGAATTGTAGGTGGTGTTAGGCAACAACCAACTTGGGCCTCGCTTGAGGCATTTAGAGAGCACACATTGCTCTCAAGATAGACTACGCCAGGCATGACCAAGCCTACAACTGGCAGAAACACCACAAAGAGCCTATGGAGCTCCTACACTCGACACAAATGGCGCAAATAGCAAACTTTGCTCTCGGCTACAACTACGCTTGATAGTCCTAAGATGGTGCCCGATGTTGTATAAAAAACCTTCCATTATGCAAAGCGAGAAAATGCACCAAAACATGTACATAATTCATTCAAATGATCTTGATCAATAAAAATATCCTTTAAGTCAATAAAACGCATCTACAAGCCAATATTTATATATGAAAACACAATTATCTTAATTACTACATACATATGAAAACATTTTTTCCCTAAGGTTCTTATAGGAACTCATGGACAATCCAAGATTTACAAGTTTAGTTTAATATGCGTAATTGAACATACATACATGTCAATACCATCAATTAGAACACTAAAGAATCACATGGAAGACAAAAACACAAGACAAGTCACAATTTGGGATTGCTCTCTCATACAATGTATATAATAACATAAAGATCGGGGTTCAATCTTACTACCCCAACATATACTCCACACCTAGAATCAAACTATTTACTATCTTACTTCGATGAATGTTAGACAAAGGATAGTGAACTCATACAAGCTTTGGTTTTCCAATTTTTCAGAGGATAAGCATAAAAAATATATAATAAGTGTAAGAATAAAACTGACGTAACCCCTTTTACTTGTTTAACTCACACTTAACCCTCTAGTAGAACAATTAACCCATGGTTACATTTTCTTCCCTCGCAATTAAAATAAAACACATATACACATACACACATATATAAAATTAAAAACTATATAATTCAATGATTAAGACATTTATTAAAACTAACCCAATTAATAATTATAAAAAGTAAAATATTATTATTTTTTAAATAAAAATTTGGGGTGTTACATCTATTAACTTCATTTTTCACACAAAGCACAAGTTATGCATTTGTAACAAAAAGTCAGTCCCCCAAAAAATTAAAGACAATATAATAGAATTCGATAAGAATTTTCACCATCAGGAAGCGCATCTGGTGTAGTGGTATCATAGTACCCTCCCACGGTACTGACCGGGGTTCGATTCCCCGGATGCGCATTGGTTTTAATATTTTGTTCGGTTATTGAGTCCTTTACAGAATAAGAGTACTTCTTCTTTAACAAGTTGAAGGTCACAAAATTTAAGTTACCATTGAAGGAAATTCTGCCAACCAGAGTACAAATATCAAAACCCTCACATTTGAGTTGTTTAAATTTATAATTTTTTCCATCAACAATTGTGTAACCTTGAGTTTATTCCGAAAAGAAGTTTGATTAATATGATTAAACTTTATAGCTAGAAAACTAAGTCATTCCCAAATTGTGTAGGCTAAGCACCTCCTTATCTGATAGAGGGTAAGGGTATGTTAGAATCATCTTCAGGGAGAGAGTTTACCTTATTTAATAAGGAAATTTCCTGAAACAACCATTTCCTAGATCATGTTAATAGACCTATATGTTAGTTTCAATCTGTTTTAATAAAAGAATACTTAGCCTTTTATTTGTCAAATTCTTAAGGAAGTTTGTTGAAAAATATTAACTATGTTTTTATTAACAGAATTTTCAAATACGCTGCTATTATAGGGGAAAACAGAAAGAATTACCTGAGGCAATATGAATAGTGATGTGGTTATGAAGGAATTGTCACATTTAAAGAATGGTGAGGTTCTTGTCTATATAGCAGCCAAGTCTGTTTGACAATCTCTTATGCTATGTTCTCACAGAAAAATTATTTGGTAGTACAAAATTACTAAGTGTCTATGATGTGTCTATGATTTCAAATGTTTTTTTTTTGTATAATACTATGTATTTAAGATTTTTAATTTTAAAAAAATTAATACATAATTTTGAACTATCTAAAAATTTATAGTTCTCACATATATAGAGTAAACGTGCGCACTGAGTGACTCTGGAAGTGGGACACCATGGACATTGATTATCATTATTATTGGACTATGTGATTCTTGTGAGAGACCGAATTTTTTAGCTCCATGAAGTTGACAATTGGTCTCGTATAATTCACTCAAGGATTATACTCTTCAAAAATAAATAGAAAACCTGAAGGATGAGCTTCAAACTTTTGTTTTGCCAAATCAAATGAAAACAGAAATTATCCTAGTGTTCCGGTATAAAGAATTGGACTTCTCTATCTAATCATCAATTTCTAATTGTAGAATGCCCCATCTGTTGTTTTTCCTCAAAGTTGGTTCACTGTGTCATCTTCTTTATTAACGCATAGCTTTGATTCGAATCTAAGTCATTGTGTTGATGGTTTGATATTATTAGTCTCTTGTGAGTCTTTACCGAACTTGCAGCCAACCTAACACTAGAAGGGATAATCATTCCCTCACACAAAATTTTTATTCAAGATAATAAGGAATTCGACCACTCTGATTCCATTTTTAATATATTCCATGAATACCATTAGAAAGATTTACCTTACTTCTTGGCTTTAAAGATAAATTTTATTGCCCTGCGTTAACAATCAGAAATTCAGGACCCAGCTTATGTACTTTTTTGTAATTTTGCTGATTCTATCATCGGTTGATTTAGCAGCTCTCTATGTACTGCAAATTGATCACTTTCCTTTTGCGTTTTGCCAATGTTTGACAACATTTGCCGAAGAAACAAGATAAATAAGGAAGTTTCGTTTGTGAAATACTACTTGAAGGAAACCAGCAACAACAATTTGAAGGAAACACTACCTGCATAAGTCTAAAATTATTAATTCTGAAGAGTGACTCTACAATCACCCAAACTTATGTTCGTCAAATCTGTAACTTATCCTGAGAATCATGTTTACAATCAGAATTGCAATTTGCAATGGCTTATATCCTCTTCCTTTATCTAATCAGCTCAACTGAACCATCAATTTTTATTATACCTACCAAACTATCAATCACGGCAGAAAAAATTTCTCCAGCCTCATCAATCATCATCATCATCATAGCCCCAATAGTATGAAACATTATTTTTTTCACAATAGCATAAATATTAAGGAAATCGCAAGCTGTATGTTAGTCATACCATATAAATACAAAGTCAGGTAACGAGGTATCTATATATATAACAAATACTAAAAGACAATCTCATAGAACATCATTACGCAACCTTAAAAGCAACAGTGAAATCCAAAAAAAAGAAAAAAAAGAAGAAGGTCAATTAATTAAAAAACAAAAATTAAAAATCAAATCCAGCATCATCAAAGCCAGCATCATCAAAGCCAGCATCATAGCCCGCATCATAAGCAGCAGCATCAGATACCATATCTCCAATCAACATGCCACCCAAGGCACCACCAAGCAATCCAGCTCCCAATCCCATTCCAAATTTGTTCTTCTTTCGTTGTGGCGCCTGTGCATACCCATATCCACCTTGTTGGGGTGGGTATCCATAACCAGCTTGTTGTGGTGGATACCCATAACCGGGTTGTGGTGGATATCCATAACCCGTTTGTTGGTATCCACCAACAGCTGGTTGTGGTGGATACCCATATCCCGCCGTCGCAGCATATTGTTGCTGCGACGGCGGAACATACGGTGCCGCATATGGCACAGAACTAGATCCGGCCGCAGTTGCGGCCGAAGGAGGATAAGCCATGACAGGCTCTTCTCCTGCCTTCTTCGGTGCTGATTTGGCGGCCGGAGCTGCGACCTGGTCGCCAAACTTGTAGGAGAGATAGAGGGTGCCCTTGGGTTTTCCTGAGGATGTCCTCACCGAGTAACCGACTTGGCGGAAGGGGCCTACCTCGGGAGGGTTGTCGAGAAGCTCCCTGAGGGGGATGTGGACGGTGCCGATGACGGTGTCGCCGGCGAGGGTGCGGTCGGAGACGAGCTTGATATCGAGGGACAAACGGTTCTCCTTGGCCAGGGACTCGTTGACGGAGAATTTGGCGGGGTAGTTCCACGTGGGGTTGGTGCCGCCGTCCTTGTGGACGTGGGTGGTGGCGCCCTGCGGGTGGAGGGGGTCGCCGGAGAGCGAAACGACGGCGTACACGTCCATCTTGGAGAAGACGTTGACATTTTTGAGATCCTTGGCGGATATGATGTTGAGTTCTAAGGTTCTGTATTCCATGTCTAAGGAGAGACTTTTGTTTGTTGCTATATAAATCTCGATGATTATGTGTGAATCACAACTGAATGAATGAATATATATACAAGTTTTAAGGAATAGGAACCTTCCAGGTAATAATTATTAATTCATTATTCACGCGTAGTGCTATTTTTGCATTTCGTTAATACTACTTATCTTTTCCTTTTCATGAATCAAAGGCGCTTCTGTGTTTTATTATTGCTTATTGATGAAGATATTTTAACCTTTCATGAAGCAATTGTTTTTTATTATTTTTTTTTATTAATTATAATTTTGATAACAATTTGATGTACCCTAATGTCTTTTCATGTAACTAAAATTGTTTGACGAACGTCATAAGTTTAGAAATTAATTGTTGGTCCTAGGTAGCTAAATTCTGGAACGTGCATGCATCGGAATTTACTAATTTAGGTTAATAATCTATTTTGGTCCTTGATAATATTTTTTTAAAATTTTCTATTTTAATTTTAGGTCTCAATTTGGTTCCTAATAATTTAAATTATTGTAATTTGAAATTTTTGTCCAAATAATTTAAATGAGGTTAACTCCTGCTGACGTGGATTCCAGGTGGATGCCACGTAGATGCATAGGTGGATGCCAAATGTCATGAATACACTTGGAATCAGAACAGCCCTTTCTGAAACCAGAACGGCCCTTTCTGTATGCACATGTTATGTGTTAATTTTGCAACTAGAACGGACCGTTCTAAATGTAAATTTAACACAACATGAGTGCAGCAGAACAGGCCGTTCTGAAACTAGAACGAGCCGTTCTTCTTTTAGAACAGGCCATTCTGAATTCAGAACGGTCCGTTCCAGAACGCCAACTTCATGCTTTTTATTGTATTTTTATTATTATATCTATATTAATAAAAATATAATAAATAAAAAATACAATAAATTAATATTCATTTATGAATAAAACAAAAAAAAAGAATCAAATAAGATAAAACCTTCCAAAATCTTTCTTTGATTTGAACTTATCCAGTTCAAAATCTTGACTAAAATGCCGCAATGTGATTCAAAAATTGAAAATAAAAATTCATAATATATCATGAATTCAAAGACAGAAACATGATTCAGAAACTGAAAACAAAAATTTAGAACATAACATATACTAAAAAAGTTCAAAGAAATTATTGAAAAAAGAAATCATCTAGGTAACGCTGAAGGGAAACCCTAAATCACAAAAATTGTGGTTGTACCTCCTCAAGAACAGGTTGTTATTGTTGGGGTACATCGTCAATGATTTCAAGGGGAAACACCATTTCGTTTCATCATTGACTGTATAGTGTCAATTTGGTAGTAAGTGGTTCACTACAGTTTGACTAACAATGAAATAAAACTTGTTACCATTGTCCTTAATGATGCACTGCATCGTCCTTAATGATACACTGTATAGCCCAAATGTTTAGCAATTGAAGTTATCAATCCCCATTATCAATATTACCAAATCTAGTGTTTGAAATACTTTGTACTTTTGTTTTTTGTACACGAAATTCTAGAACCAGAACGGCTCGTTCTGGTTCCAGGTGTATTCAAGTATTTTGGAATCCACCTACGTGGCATCCACCTGACATCCACATCAGCAGAAGTTAACTCCGTTTAAATCATTTAGACGGAAGTCCCAAATTGCAATGATTTAAATTATTTGGGACTAAATTGAGACATAAAATTAAAATAAGACTAAATTGAAAAAAAATATATTATAAAAGATCAATAGAGATTTTTAACAACTAATTTACTTGTATGATCCTTCATGTCATCATACATAAAAATCAACCTAGGCTGGGCCACGCGTTGGACACGGGATGATAATACGTGTACTATTCACATATGAGTTTGACCCAAAAAAAAAGGGTTCAAGACCGAGTTTTTGAAGTTGAAATGGAAGGAAGCATATTTATTTATTTATTTATTTTCCCTTTGGAGTTTGTTATTGGAAATTCTGTTAACCCTTCGTTTGACAACAACTTGCACTGAGAAAGGCGGCATGCACTCGTTAACGACTTAATTTACCCCCTTAACCGGAAGCATATTTCGTAAAAATTGAATTTTTCCTTTTATATTTTATTATCTTTTATTTTTGAACTTTAATAAATGCCAATTCTTTTCTGAATACCAATTTTGTTTTCTTTGTTATTATTCCTTTAAAAAAATCGTTTGGATAATATTTGCTTTTAAATTGAAGCAAACCCACACATTTTATGATCCGGGTCAACCGGAATCCAACTTTTCCACCTTGTTTTATTTTCGCCTCTATTTCTAGAACCCTAATTGGGCCTTTAGGCTTTTTGCAACCTTCTCTCTTTTCAATTTAGTTGTTTGGGCCTAAACATTTTCCTGTGTATTTTAGTTGGGTGATGATAAATACACCTTCGTTTTTATATAAACACACCCCTTTTTTATAAAATATATAAAATTTTTAAATTATTTTTTTTTATAAAAAATATATATAAAATTTCTAAATTTACACCTTGTATCTTGCACCCCTCTTCTTTCTCTTCTTCACACCCCTTTTCTTTTTTGTTTTTCCCGCACTCCACACCTCCTTTCTTTCTCTTCCCCGCACCCTTCTTCTTCTTTGTTTTTCCCGCATCCCGCACCCCTCTTCTTTCTCTTCCCTGCACCCCTCTTCTTCTTTCTTTTTCCCACACTCTGCACCCCTGTTCATTCTCTTCCCTACACCCCTCTTTTTCTTTCTTTTTCTCGCACCCCCTTTTTCTTTCTTTTTCCCACACCCATCTTTTCGAAATAGTAAAGTTTTTGTTTTGAAAATTAATTTCCGGAATAATAAAGTTTTTATTCAAGAAAATACTTTCCATAATAGTAAATTCTTATTCCGGAAAGTATTTTCTGGAAAAGTTTTGTTACATAATTCTGAAAAGCACTTTCCAGAATACTAAAGTTACTGTTCCGGAAAGTTCTTTCCGGAATTATATAAGAAACACACTTCTAGAAAATGCTTTTTGGAACAATAATTTTATTATTCTGGAAAGTACTTTCCAGAATAGTAAAATTAATTTTTGAATCTTATTTTTCGGTATGACAAATTTAACTTACGTGTTTCTTTATCTCCTCATCTACTACCGTCGTCTATGATCCTGTTGTCCATAAGTAATGTTAAATAAGTTAAAAAAATTTATAAATATAAAATGTAATTTAATATATTAATTTGTACCTTGTATTGAATGTAGAATAATGAATATTGAATGAAAAATTAGGGTTTAAGAAATAATAGAGTAGAAAATGAAAAATAGAATTTAAAAGATAGAAAGATAAAATATGATTATGTTGATTATAAAAGAAGAAAAATCAAGAATAAAAAATGAAAAAGAATAAAATCATCAAAAAATGACTAAAGTAATGAAAAAGGAGAATGAGAAAAAGAAGAAGAAAGAAAAAGAAAAATGATAAAAAAAAGGGGGAAATAAAAAACAAATTTAAAAATAGAACTTAAAATAAAAATTTAGTTCGAAGAATATTTTAGAAATTTTATTTAAAAAAAATTGGAGATGTACTTATAAAAGATAAGAGGTGTATATATTATTAGCCATTTTAGTTTAATATAT